AAAACTTACTTACAGTCTGTGAGTCAGAACAGCCGGCATTGTAGTCTACTCTCCCAGGATCAGGAAACAGTCCTCCATAAAATGTGCTGCACACATCTGAATATTTGGTTTGAACTGTTCTGGAACAGTGTTGTAAATACAACTTAACCACTGATTTCTAGTTGTGTCCTCTTTTGGAAGGTCAAACAAAGTAGTTTCGCTTTCAGGCCGGCAGGCTAGAGTGAGCGGAGGCCGGCGGTTAGAGTGAGCGGTGGCCGGCGGTTTCGACGAAGGAGTGTCCGGCGGGCTTGCGGCAACCACATGTGACGACCCCGGGCTGGACTCCGCTTCGTCCAAGGTGAAAGCCGATCCGGCGATCCACAGAGCGAAGTTGAAATAAATGAACTTTTCCACGACATTCTAATTTATTGAGATGCACCTGTATATATACACATATATATATATATATATACATATATATATACACATATATACATATATATATATACATACACATATATACATATATACACATATATATTAAACTATATATTGCTTTTATTTGGTAAGGATGCATTAAATTGATGAAAAGTTACCAAAAAAAAGACTTTAAATATATGAACTTTCTATTCATCACAAAAAAAATTCGGAGAAATAAAAAAGTGTATTAATTATTAATCAGCACAACTGTTTTCAACATTAATAATAATAATAATAATAATAATAATAATAAGTGTTTCTTAAGCAGCAAATCAGCATTTTAGAATGATTTCTGAAGGATCATGTGACACTGAAGACTGGAGTAATAATGCTGAAAATTCAGCTTTGCATGCACACGAATAAATTATATTTTAAAATATATTAAAATGGAAAACGTTTATATTAAATTGTAATTATATTTCTCAATATTGCAGTTTTATTGCATTTATGATCAAATAAATGCAGCCTTATTGAGCATAATAGACCACAAAAGATCAAAATCTTGCTGACCTCAAACTTTTGAACGGTGGTGTAATCTAGAGCTTTGCTAATATAATCTTATATTAATGTAATTGTGATTATTTTTTTCTATAAATATTGCATTGATACTTTAAGTTGTTGTATCAGTATTAATTTAATCTCCAACAGTTCAATTAATGAAGAATCAGGTTGTTATGACAAAAAAAACATAATGATATATCAAAATTAGGATCAAATAATCATAATTATGACATATTAAGTAGTTATAATTATAGCATACAAAGTCATAATTATGAGATATAAAACCTTAAGTATAAGAATAAAAATAATAATTTCATTATGAAGCAAATTTTCCCTATATCAGATTTAATTACATAACATTTCATAATTATGGCTTAAAATGTCATTATTTAAACTTTGTATGTCATGTTTCATAATTATGATTTATCAAAGCATGGTATTTTTTTCTTATGTGGTGTTTGGTGCGGTTTCAATTTTCCGATTGGAATTCATTGTAATGCATTGAATTATGAAATATTGCAATACCCAGCCCTAATATTATGCCTTTTTTCCTTCTATTCATATATTTTTAAAGTTAATAGCACATTACATTTATCTATCCCATGACACAAACGGGAAGATCAAGCATATGCGAGTGATTCAGCTCATATCATTATTGACAAGTGTATCTGACCTCATATGTAAAGCTGTAGATTTAAAATGTATGAACATGCATTTGCAGTGTGTAAGCAGCCACTCATATAGCTTTTCCTTTGGATCAGAGCACACAGCCCCTTTGCTGGGTGAGCTTTGCACATAACCTTTGCAAATCACCCGAAGTAATATGCTGTGCTTCTGGCAACAAACCTGCATACATGTTTCTCAATGCAACTCCACTACACTTCTTACATATCAGTCTGTTTGCAGGTTCCTTTGATTCTGGTATCTAGCCACACACATAGGCCAGTCTGTATTTCATCTTTTAAACAAAGAATGTGAAAGAGAAAAGAGATCACGTGTATGTGTTCAGGGTCATAGTTTATCCTCGGTCTGGATGGTAAAAGCACCGTCCATCACCCAGTCTCAGACAATCCCAGCCCACCATGACAGTCTCGCAAGTTAAGGAGGTAAAATGCATTAAATATATTATGTCTGGATGGCTGCAGATTGAAAATCGTTTAGACATTCTCTGATTTAAGCTCAAAATGCAATCGCAAAGAGTTATACATGTGCAGGGCTCGACAATAAGGATGACTCGGGGCCAGTGTGAGATCAAACATTTGGTTTTGGGTGATGTATTTATGCTATATGATTATGCTAATTGAAGTATGTAACCAAGGTAATGTTATCTAGCCTGCTAATGTAGTTTTTTTGTTGTTGTTGAAGTTGTGACTTGTGATAGTAATGGAAATGTCAAACTAAATAGTAATGTTTTGCACCATTGCTTTCCAAAAAAACTCTTTTAATTTGTAGTTATAGGACTTTTTTTAACATAGTTATAGGAAGTTATAAGATATTTTTTGTATGCATATGGTATGTACATTTTATTTATTTTTTGTTGTTATATAACAATCATTTTATTAATTGTATTAAAATGAAATTGTATTTAAAAATAAATTAGAACTCAAATTATATACACTACTGTACAAAAGTTTGCGGTTAGTATTATTTATTTATTTATTGAAATAAATTAATACTTTTATTCAGCAAGTATGCATGAATTGATCAGTGAATACTTTTAAATTATTATAAGAAATCTACATTTATTTTAGACTATTTCAAATAAATATTTTTTTAACCTTCTATTCTTTAAAAAATCCTGAAAAAACTATCACTGTTTCTACAAAAATATTAAGCAGGACAACAGTTTTCAGCATTGATAATAATAAGGAATACATTTTAAAAACATAAAAAATATATTAAAATACACTGAACAAAATTATAAACGCAACACTTTTGTTTTTGCCCCCATTTTTCATGAGCTGAACTCAAAGATCTAAGACTTTTTCTATGTACACAAAAGGCCTATTTCTCTCAAATATTGTTCACAAATCTGTCTAAATCTGTGTTAGTGAGCACTTCTCCTTTGCCGAGATAATCCATCAACCTCACAGGTGTGGCATATCAAGATACTGATTAGACAGCATGATTATTGCACAGGTGCGCCTTAGGCTGGCCACAATAAAAGGCCACTCGCCCATTGTTGTGCCATTCATCCACGACCATCACCTCATGTTGCAGCATGATAATGCACGGCCCCATGTTGCAAGGATCTGTACACAATTCCTGGAAGCTGAAAACATCCCAGTTCTTGCATGGCCAGCATACTCACCGGACATGTCACCCATTGAGCATGTTTGAGATGCTCTGGATCGGCGTATACGACAGCGTGTTCCAGTTCCTGCCAATATCCAGCAACTTCGCACAGCCATTGAAGAGGAGTGGACCAACATTCCACAGGCCACAATCAACAACCTGATCAACTCTATACGAAGGAGATGTGTTGCACTGCGTGAGGAAAATGGTGGTCACACCAGATACTGACTGGTTCTCGGACGCCCCCCGGACCCCTCAATACAGTAAAACTGCACATTTTAGAGTGGCATTTTATTGTGGCCAGCCTAAGGCACACCTGTGCAATAATCATGCTGTCTAATCAGCATCTTGATATGCCACACCTGTGAGGTGGATGGATTATCTCGGCAAAGGAGAAGTGCTCACTAACACAGATTTAGACAGATTTGTGAACAATATTTGAGAGAAATAGGCCTTTTGTGTACATAGAAAAAGTCTTAGATCGTTGAGTTCAGCTCATGAAAAATGGGGGCAAAAACAAAAGTGTTGCGTTTATAAT